ATCATTCACACCTTCATGTCAATTTAAAGCCTCTTTTGCACAAAATATACCTGTTGATTGCCGCACACCCAGCTGCTGTGGGCTTCATCAAAAGACTCAGTAATAGAGTGAGATTTCCAGTGTGTGGACACCACCACTGGCTTTAGAGATAAACCACCCTGGGTTTGCTTCCTGTCCCTGCCGGTTATCAGCTAAGGAACATGGGACAAATTGCCCAACTCTTCTAAGCCTCATCTATGAAAGCAAGAATAGGTTCAGGTTTGTTCTATAAAAGAGATAAGCAGTATGTGCAAATGCCTAGCATATCTTAAACCTCATTACATAATAGCTACTTCTGTTATGTTATTATCCAGACTTAAATATTGTAAATGCAGATTTATAAAAGCTTTAAATATTGGTAAATACAAACATCTGTTAAGAATTACTTAGCATCCCACCTTCTATGCTGACTTGTTCATCCGTCCTTCCTTCCTTCCTCCCCCTTTCTTCCCTCCCTTCTTTCTGTCTTCTTTTCATCTTGAGAAACAGTTCATCTTTTTACAAAAATATTTCAAAGTTAATTCAAACTTACTACGAAAAATACAAACAATACATAAATGTACAGAGGAGATCAGCAAATTGCCTTTGCCCCCGCCCCACCATTCCTGGGCTCATCCCCTGGAATCAGGCAGCCGCTCTTAGAAGTTTGATACGAATCATCTCAGTTGCTTGTCTCTGCCTGTGTGTGTGTTGTAAAAATTTACTCTTTTTAATGTATCATGTTCCAGAATGTCTTCATTCTTCTGTTATGTTTACAAAACAGACTGACAGTACAGCACTGTAGGCTCTCACTTACTCGTCCTCAGATTCTAAGATACAGCACTGTCGGTTCTGATCAGTCATTCTGCTCAAATGATCTCTGTCCTTTCATTTTTGAATCGGTCCATCAGATGCTGAGAGATCCATTACCATCTCCAAATGCGATGATGAATTCATCAAGTTTTAATTTTCTGTGCAGCAGTTTTTGCTTTTAGCACTTTGTTTTTAGGCCCATGAAAGTTAATGAAAATTGTGTATTTGGAAAGCTTAACTTCTGTTCATAGAAAATAGTCATCTTTAACTCTTTCCTCTTTGAGGTCAACTCCATCTTATACTGATACTGGCACTTCTGCTTTCTTTTTGTTGTATTTTCCAGATACAGCTTTGTTGATTTTCTCATTTCAGTCTTTGTGTGGCATGTAGCTTCTAGTGTGTCTTTTATAAGCAGTTTGTACCTAGATGTTTTCAGCCCATTCTGAGAGCATCTATCTTTTCATATAAAAATTAACCCATTCAGAGTTACTGATAATTCAAATGTATTACTCTTGTTGTCTTGTTTTCTTATTTTGTTTTTAATTGTTTCTTTTTAATTTTTTTTTTGGCTTCTACTCTATTTGACCTAGTTTTCTCTACTTAAGTTCTCCCAGTACATTTGTAGACTATGCTTTAATTTCTATTTTCCATCAGTTACTTTAACATTTAAAATTTGTTAATTACCCGAGAAATGTATTTATAGGTTCTCCTTATTTGAAGAAACAATACTGACAAGACAAAAGCCCCTTAAGCATCTCTTTCAATACCAGCCCCTTCTCTCCATCACTCAATCCAGAATGCCCTTGTCAGTTTATTGTGGATTCATCCTGAACTATCCATGTTAGTTGTCCTAGGTCTACCTGTTGTTTTCAACTGGTAAATAGTAAGGCACAGTATGGCTAAATCCCGGGTTTTTATTTGCTCTTCCTTCATGGTACCATGTGCACCATCTTCCCAGCCCTTCCCAGGAAACCAGTGTTGACAACCCAGGGTGTTAGCTTCCATATTCTCCCCACATCCATATAATCATCTACAGGTACTATACATGTATGTGTGTGTGCACACAGGTCTCTGTGCGTATGTGTATATATGTATACACAAACATGTAAATACGAACATATACACACGTGTATTCACATATTTAATGAGGGGGTGAGTCCTTTTTTCAGCAGAGGAAGCCGAGGTAAGAGGTTAAGAGGCAGTGCAGCTGGGGTGGCTGCTCCAGTCCCCTTGCAGGTTAATGTGACATAATTGCCACCTCGTTTCTATGGCGTGTCATACTGCTGCTAGGTAGTGTCTCCCCACCAGGACCACACTGGGTGCTGCTGGAACCAGAGACACACAGGGTGTGCTCCTACCCCAGAGCAACCTTCTGATTCAGTATCGGTGTTTATGAAAGTAAGTCCAGAATATCAGGATACATCCAGACCGGTTTTACATGTCGCCTACACTGAGGGTGTTCTACGTGGATCAATGCTCAGAACTGTGATCCTATCAGCATCCTAGGGCTGCCGTGACAAGGCAGCACAAACTGGTTGACTTAACAGAATTTTATCGTCTCACAGTTGGAGGCTGAAAATCTGAGATCAAGGCGTTAGCAGAGTTGGTTCCTTCTGAGACTGTAAGGGAGAATCTATTCCAAGCCCCTCTCCCAGCTTCTGGGGGTTTGCTGGCCACCTTTAGCCTCCCTCGGCTTGTGGAAGCATCACCCTGAGCACTGTCCTCACTTCACATGGTGTTCTGCCTGTGCTGGTGTCTGTGTCCAGAACCCCCCTTGTTATAAGGACACCAGGCATACTGGGTGAGGGGACCCACCTGCTCCAGTGTGACATCCTAACTCAGCTAATTACATCTGCAATGATCCTGTTTCCAATAAGGTCACATCCTGAGGTACTAGGGGTTAGGACTTCAACAAATTAATTTGGAGGGGACACAACTCAACCCATAACAGTGATCTTTTGGTACTAAGGTCCCTGTTTATCAGATACAAAGGGCTTAATTATCAGATAAATATTCTGTATGTGTTTATATATTTTAAATACTCACTAACATGTGTTGAAGGCACTATGTTAGCCGGTTTAGGGAGGTCATCTTTACTCAATACTCCCAGAAACAAATGAGGAAGTGGTGGCTTTGAGAAGGAAGGCTTTTCTGGCTGCCCTGCCGGCTGGGAGGCGAGATCGTTCCTGATTAGAGCCAGAGCCCCCAGGTGGCTGGCTCAGCTGCATGGCAGCAGTGAGACAGTTTTATAAGCACATGCATGAAACTTGCAGGTCACCGGTGGCATTAACGTGGCTCTCCATAGTAAAGATGTCCTATCATTAGCTGAGACCTTATCTGTCAGAAGATTCTGCAAGAACACCTGGAGCTAAGTCTACAAGCTGAGTCTTGTAACTCAACGTCACTACTCCACAAAATAAGTCTTTAAGTCTCTAAAGGGAGAAAAAAAGCTACAGGCCAAACTGACGCCTGAAACCTTTTGACATTTGCCATGTTAGTTTGAAAATGAGATGACAAAACTAAACCATGATATGTCCTCGTTTTCATGCTGAAGAGAAACTAAGGAGAAACTCTATAAGGGGGCTTTATTTTGGTAATGTTTTGCTATTTGAATGAGTAAATCTTTTTTTTTTTATTTTTATTATGAGACAGTAAGGTTTATAAAGCTAATCTGTGACCCTACTAGCCAACATGACCACTGAAGACATTTTGATATATGTACTTTAGATACTGTTTCTATGTCTGGTTTTGTGGGTTTTGTTTTTAGTGTTTCGTCTGCAAACTTCAGCTTATTTAGAGCATAGTATCTTGGAATCTGATTTTTATATTTTTTCTATTAAGCGTTTACTAATAATATCTAATAATTATTTAAATTAGTGCATGGTTTGTTATTTACAGTTAACCATACCTTATTTAACCAATTTCCTATTGTTTGACGTTTGGAGTATCTACAGATGGGTTTAAAAAATTCTTGAAATACCAAAACATTTCTGAATTCATTACATTTTGATCATTTCTCAACACAAATTAGTAAATATTCCTATCAGATTTAAGTGAGAATTTTTTTTAAGTTGGCTTGTATAAATCTTCAAGTTTAGTATTAAACAGTAGATCAGAAGCAGCATGTGGAGAGGGGGCTTTGATGTTTCTGCTGCCTTCTTTTACAGAAATGCTTCTCTGAGAAATGTATAAGAAGGACTACTTTTTAAAGGAGTAACAGATCTATTTTTCTAACTTAATTCATTTGAAAGCTTAGTTACAGGCACACCTCAGAGATTCTGAGGGTGCTGCTGTTCCACACTACCGCAATAAAGCGAGTCACCCAAGTTTTTGGTTTCCCAGTGCATATAAAAGTTATGTTTACACTAGACTGTAGTCTTTTAAGTGAGCAATGGCATTATGTCTGAACTACCTTAATGTAAAAATATTTCATTGCTAAAAAAAAATGCCCAATTACAATAGTAACACCAAGATCACTGATCACAGATCACCATAACAAATATAATAATAACGAAAAAGCTGGAAATACGCATTTACCAAAATGTGACACAGAGACACAAAGTGAGCAAATGATGGTGGAAAAATGGCTCTGATAGATTCCCCCGACACAGAGTTCCCACAAACCTTCACTTTGTAAAAAAACAAAACAAAACAAAACAAAAACACAGTATCTTCAAAGCTCAGTAAAGTGAAGTGCAATTAAAGGAGATATGCCTGTACTTTGAAAGACTTGAAATTCAAGGCAGAATATTCAACACTCAGTCGATTAACATGGAAAGAACGAACTCCTGGAAATGTTTACTTGGGGAATGTGGGTTTTAAAATGTGCAGATAAAGCCACTACCTCACTCTTCAGCATTTCATCAAATCTATGACAACATTTATTTTAAGAAGCATCATTATTTTATTTCAATTTTTTAAATTTTAGTTTTAAAGAGGAAACTGCCAATTAAATGATACGCCATCAATTGTTTTAAAAGGTAAAAAAAATATACCTTGCACTCAATAAATGGTATTACATACTAAAATCTCAAATGTTATTAGTAAGAATAAGATTGGCATGAACTCTGTAATCTTTGAACCCACACAGATTTCTCTGTTCAGTGAGCTCATTTCAGTGGTTCACTAACTGCAGCTCCTCTGCTCCTTTTCCTTTGTCCCTGTTCCAGGTGTGGCGAGGATCCCCGGCAGGATCAGCAGCAGCTCCTGGAAGGGATCACAGAGCTGGACATCCAGACGGGAGCGATCCCCTCGCAGCTGCTGGTGCACGGGGCCCTGGCCTTCCCCCTGGGCTTAGATGCCTCCCTCGGCTGCTTCCTGGCAGCTGCCCGCTATGGCCGGGGCCGGGTGGTCCTTGCTGCCCACGAGGGCATGCTCTGTGCTCCCAAGATGGAGCCCTTTTTGCTCAATGCTGTGCACTGGCTGGCCAGAGGCCAGACGGGCAAAGTTGGGGTGAACACAAGTCTGGAAAACCTGTGTGCCCTGCTGTCAGAGCATGGCCTGGAATGCAGTCTGGAGCCCCATCTGACGGGAGACCTGTGTGTCTACTGCTGTGTGGCTTACAGTGACGAGGAGGCTACGCAGCTGCAGGAGTTTGTGGCCGAGGGTGGGGGCTTGCTGATCGGGGGCCAGGCCTGGTGGTGGGCCTCCGAGAACCCAGGCAGCTCCGCTCTGGCTGGCTTTCCTGGTAACGTCATCCTCAACTGCTTTGGCCTCAGTGTCCTAGCTCAGACAGTGAACCCAGGCTGCTTCCCTGTCCCTTCCCCGGAGAAGCAGAGCTACCACTTCCGCAAGGCGCTCTCTGAATTCCAGGCTGTCCTGAATCATGGGGGTGGGAACTTGGAAAAGAGCTGGCTAGCCAGACTGGGAGTCGATGGTGCAGCTTTCCTCCAGATTCCGGCCGAGGGGGTCCCTGCTTATGCGTCCTTGCACCGGCTCCTGCGGAAGACTCTGCGCCTGTCGGGCCTCCCAGCTGTGAGCCGGGAAAACCCAGTTGCCAGTGATACCTGCGAGGCGGCAGTGCTCTACCTGGCCACAGAGCTGGCGCACTCCGGCAATGACTGCTCCCAGCTGGCGCAGGAGCTTGGGGTCTGGTCCTGCAGCCCCAGTCTTTCCATCTCAGATCATCCCATCACGGTGGAGATCGATGGAAGCAACCCAGGTAGGGAAGGCGGGGCTGGGGGAAGGTGTGGCTAGCAGGCTTCCAGGGGCACGCAGACACTGAAGCTCAGGCAGGCCAGCTCCATTCTGTCAGGTACTTTCAAGGAAACGGGGGTTGGGATTCTGCTTAGGGTTTAGGAGGGATGCGTGCAAGAAGCATGGATAAGTGGAGGTGTGCAGAGCAGGGCTGTAGCCCTGGGAGGGGCTGTGAGGCTCCAGGTGGGGTGGAGTCAGGTCGGGGGAGAACTCAGCCTCTCCTATGGTTCTTCTCAGGTAGCGAGGATGCCTGGGTGAGTACAGGGCTCTACCTCCAAAATGGACAAAATGCAGAAGTCTCCTTGTCTGAAGCTGCGGCCTCTGCTGGCCTGAAGGTAAGACCAGAACCCCCTCTGCCACATCTCAGAGCCACAGAGCTGCTGCATTCTCATCCAGCTCACAGCAGTGCTCCCAAGAGTGCCGGGCGTCGTTCTGCCCGTATCACAGATTTCACAGATGGAACGGCTAAGTCACAGGGAGCCTAGGCCAGTGGCTGAAGATGCCAGAGCTCCTAACATCAGATCCAGGCCCAGACACAAGCTCTCAGAGCTCCACCTCCTGACAGAGACGTGAGGAGAAAGCACCTGTCACACGTGCAGAGTCTCACTCATTTCCCAGCTCAGCCTTCCTGAATCTTAAAACTTCTTTACCTTGGCACCTGAAGGGTATGCTTAGTCCCATCACTCACAAAAATAGACCATCATGCAGAAGTAAATGCTTCCTGCCTCCATTCTGGGGGGTCACTTCCCACCACAGTTGGGGGTTTCTTCTGTGTCAGTCTCCTTTCTTGAGCTCACCTACATCAAACCTACGAAAAGCAGCCCCAGGGCTCCAGACCAAACAACACTCAATCCATCTGAGCAGGAGGGGGGGCCGGGACCGAGAGGGAGGAGAGAGCCAGTCCCCCCCCCACTCAGCCCAGACCCCACTGCCTCTGGACGGGCCTCCTTTCTGTACACAGAGTGGGGATGAGGAGCCCCTCGGCCTCACTCCCAGCATCAGAATAACGACATGGGCTTGGGCCCTGGCGCCTGCTGCAGAGGCACCGGGGACCCTGGTCAGTATCAGCCTCGGGGTTATGCCTGGTCCGCCCGATGATGGTCCACTGTGGAGCTGTTTAAATCCCCAGAAAAATGGTTCTCCATACCTTGCGGTCCGTATGCCTTCTGAGTGCTAAAATCTCATAGGTTTGCATGCACAGCTCACAGGAAGGGGAAGCCGGAGTTTTTCTCATACGCGCCCTCCACATCGCACCACACACAACCCCACACCCACAGCACAGAGACCCAGCTCCTCCCACACGTGGTGGAATCCCCTCTCCAGGTACAGGTTGGCTGCCACACCGATGACTTGACGAGCGCCAGCAAGCTGTCTCGAGCCCCCGTGGTGACTTACCAGTGCAGCATGGATAGGACCACACGGTCCGTCGCCTGCCTTTGGGGTGGTCTTCTCTATGTCATCGTGCCCAAGGGCAGTACATTGGGCCCTGTGTCTGTCACCATCAGAAGAGCTGTGCCTGCCCCGTATTACAAGCTGGGTGAGTGGACTGAACGTGGAGGGAGGCGGGAGAGCTGGGGACGCTGCAGTAGCTGTGGGCTGCTGCTACGAAGGGGAGGGAGAGGATTGGTGGCCAGGAGGAGGAAGAACTGTTCAAGGTGGAAGTGGAGGCAGGAGATGAGGTACACTCTGTGTCCACAGAGACTTTAGGGCAGAACAGGCGGAAGGGTCTAGAGGCCTGTCCTTCAGTTCGCAGCACGCAGCCCCACGTGATGATCGCTCATTATTTCAGTGTCCTCCTCTGGGAGTTCAGGTGGTGGTTTTCAGCTCAAGGGAAACTGAGGAAGTGGGTGACAGGATCCATGGTATTTATTCCCAGGTAAGACGTCCCTGGAGGAGTGGAGGAACTGTATCCAGGAGAGCCCAGCTCCCTGGGGGGAGCTGGCAACAGACAACATCATCTTGACACTGCCAACTGCAGACCTCAGGGGCCTGGATGACCCCGAGCCCTTGCTCCGCCTCTGGGATGAGATGATGCAGGCCATAGCCAGGCTGGCGGCCCAGCCCTTCCCTTTCCTCTGTCCAGAGAGGATTGTTGCCGACGTGCAGCTCTCAGCCGGTGGGTACCCCGGGGGGAGGCTCCTCGTCTGTGGACACCAATTATTTATCATTTTGCCTTTGGGGAGGGGGCGTGATTTTCTTTTTTTAGTGCCTTTATCCGGTTTTGGTATCAGGGTGATGGTGGCTTCATATAATGACTTCGGGAATGTTCCATCCTCTTCAGTCTTTTGGAATAGTTTGAGAAGGTTAGGGGTCAGTTGTTCGTATGTTTGGTAGAATTCCCCAGTGAAGCCATCTGGTCCTGGGCTTTGGTTTGTAGGGAGTTTTTTTAATTAAACATTCTATTTCACTTCTAGTGATTGGTCTGTACAAATTATGTTTCTTCTTGACTCAGTTTGGCCAAGCTGTATGTTTCTAGAAACTTGTCCATTTCTTCTAGGTTATCCAGTTTGTTGGCATATAACTTCATAGTATTTTCTTATGACTTTTTTTGTATTTCTGTGGAATCAGTTATTTCTCCTCTTCCATTTCTTATTTTGCTTATTTGAGTCCTCTCTCTTTTCTTCTTGTTAGCCTGGCTTAAGGATTTTGTTTATCCTTTCAAAAAACCAGCTCTCAGTTTTATTGATCTTTTCTATTGATTTATCTCTGTTTTATTTATTTCCTCTGTGATCTTTATTATTTCCTTCTGCTGAATTTTATTTTGCCTTTTTCTAATGTCCAATATGTGTAAGACATAATTTTACCAGTAAAGAGAAAAAAGACATTCAAGACATGGACCTTGATGGGAATAAAAAGATGTTTACATGTGAAAAGGTAAATCATGTTCATCTACAAGGTGAGATTTCACAGGATGGTAGAACAGTCACAGAAAAATTAGTACCAGGAGCTCAAGAGAACAGTGACGGTGTTTCAAGGAGAAGTTAAAACAGAAATATCTCCTTCAAACATATGTCAGAGCTGGCAATGAAACAAGAGAGTAAAGAGGTTTATGTGAAGTATTGACTGGCTTAGAGGAAAGAATAGCATCTAAAAAAAAAATAAGGAAGTCTGGTTCCAATGTGCAGAAAATTTCTCTGGACCTGTTTTCTTATCTTTTAAAAAAAAGACAAGATTATTGATATTAAAGAGAATAAATCTGGGCAACAGTGGTTTATGTGGGAGAAGGAATGGCACTGCTCTAGCCTCAAGGATCTCAAACTTAGACACAATATCTTACATCGCAAACTGACATACAAGGGAACATCACATAAAATGAAGCACTGAGTTATAGAGAGAGTAACAGGACTGTCCAGGGCCAGAGTGACAGGACTGTCCAGGGCCAGACTGACAGGACTGTCCAGGGCCAGACTGACAGGACTGTCCAGGGCCAGAGTGACAGGACTGTCCAGGGCCAGACTGACAGGACTGTCCAGGGCCAGAGTGAGAGGCTGGGAAGAGGGTAGGGTCTCTTCAGTCTCTACCAAGTCGGACAGAGCATCTGCTTTCCAATCAGCATGGAGATTCTGGAATTACTGGGGACAGCCAGGATGGTGAGGGAAATGTACACAGTGGAGAGGAACGAAGGGAGATGGGTTTGGGCAGGTGCCCCCACCCCCTCCTCACTCTTCGTCCTGTGTCCCCAGGCTGGATGCACGCAGGGTACCCCATCATGTGCCACCTGGAGTCGGTGCAGGAGCTCATCAGTGAGACAGGCATGAGAAGCAGAGGTCTGTGGGGACCCATCCACGAGCTGGGCCACAACCAGCAGCGTTGGCAGTGGGAGTTCCCCCCGCACACCTCCGAGGCCACCTGCAACCTGTGGTCAGTCTACGTGCACGAGACGGTCCTGGGCATTCCCAGGGATCAGGCCCACCCTGCTCTGAGCCCTCCAGAACGAGAGAAGAGGATCAAAACACATCTGGGAAAGGGAGCCCCCCTGAATGACTGGGAGTTGTGGACAGCTCTGGAACTGTATCTACAGGTACTGGGCAGAAATTCAGGGAGATTGGGGTGGGGTGGGGGTGGCCAGACCTTTCTGTCAGGTAGCAGCTTCGATCCAACCACCCTTGCCAGCCTGGGCCCACCAGCTCCCCTGGCTGCACGGCGGTGCTGCTCTGGTTACACGTTTCTGAGATGGAGACAGTGACTCCTGTGCCTCTCACCTCCTATGAATTCACAATGACAAGTAAGAGGAAGTGCAAAGTGTTATGAAAGAAAGTAAGTAGAGAGAAACAAAGCCCCGGATTTCTTGATTAAGGGCGGAAGTGCTGAGTAAGACTCCCTGAGACTGAGCCACAGCTCTCCATGCGCTGCTTTTGTCCTTTGCCCCCTCCAAAGTGTTTCAGCAATGGTAATTGCTCTGTTTTGCTTTGTTTTCCCTCTCCTCAATTTCACGGGTCCAGTAAGTATTGCATTCTTTCTTAGTTACTTACAGTGACGTGTTACGGGCAACTGCATTACTAAGACAGCCTCGTAGGAAATAAATCTGGTAACAAGATTCTCAGAATTCCATCACCCACCTGAACCCAAAATGTTTCTGAAATGAGTAAATAAATAACCAACTCGGGAGAGCACCAAGGTCCCAAAGCAAGTCGACTGCCTGTGAACTGAGCGTAAATCCCTGTCCCCTCGCCCATCCTGCTTTGAATTTTAATACTTTCAAGTCATCAAAGCCGCTCCCCACATCAGGTCCCCTACACTGTGTGCCGTGACCCTCTAGGGGGCACGGCCCGCTTTTCATAGGCACATATCGAGTTAAAGACCGTGGGCATCCTGTCCAGTGTCACACATGTAAATGATGGCCCCAGAACCTGAAATCAGGAGTTCGTGACAAGCCCAGACTTTTGCACTTCCATAACCCCCCCTTGGATTCTTTTTCTTTCACTCGTTTTTCTGAAGAGTGAGTGTGAGACAGCCCCAGTCAGTGAGATCACTTTGCACTGCATCGGCTCAGGATTCTTCTAGAGCCAGTCTGAGGGTCTACAGGGAAGCAGACATTCATGGTAGTTGGCACTGAAGTGCAAGATAAAGCCCTAATTCCACTCTACCCACTGACCGACTCACCAGGGAGCCCTGAATATCATTTTGCAAAAGCTATGGAGAGACCCCCCTCATCTTGGAATCTGAGGCTTGGTCTGAGGACAGACAGACACCTTCTGCTTTCCCTACCTGCGGGGGGGTCTTCTCCCCATCATCCCTCCAGCTGTTCTGGCATCTTGCTTCAGTGCCCTGCAGTCCACCTTCCACACCACTGCCAAAATAGTCTGCAGGTTCACGTTTAAACCTCGTCAAGTGTTCTCCCTTGCATACAGGATACAGCAGAAGCTGCTCGGCTGGGTGCACAAGGCCCCTCATCATCAGACATTCACCAGCACCTCCCTCCCAACTCCCAGTCTCCCACCTCCATAGTTACCCTCCAGTTTACCCGCCTGCTCCCCACTGGGAACACGTCTCACTGTTTCGGCTGCTCCATGCTTCCTTCCTGCAGCTGAAACGTCCTTGAACATCTTGTCTCTCACCTGTCAAGTCACCTGTCACAATTCAGCCCTATCGTCCTCTTCTCCTGACACCATCTCCTTGACAAGCCAACTTTTTTTGTAATTTCTTTACTTACACATCTGTCTGTCTGTCCCGCTGGCCAGTGACCTCCAGAAGGATAAGAGCTCTTGCCTAGCACCATAGCTGGCACATTGTAGATATTTAATAAATGTTACTTGTGTAGTAAGTGCCACATCTGTCAATGTATTAAACTAACAGTGATGAGCAGGAGGACCATCGAAGGCCAAGGCAGTGAGAGCAGAGGGCGCTGATCCAAGTGTCATCTGTCCTCAGGCTTTTGCACCCCAGAGTCAGAGGATTCTCCACCATCAAAGGGGGAGGGAGGTCTTGGAAACCCCAAGATCCCCGCTAATTCTAAATCTCTGTAGTCTTAGCTAACAAGGGCCTCCTGTCCATGGCTTTCAGGTGAGTTGTTCCCTACAAAGTCTGATCCACTCTCATGCTGAGCCCCTTGTGACATACCTGCTTCTTCCTTGTTTCATCCCAAAGGCAGTGTTCCACAAAGAAGAAAACAGTCACAGGTCTGAGATGGCTAAAAAATAAAAAAAAAAGGATTTTACTATGTCTGAAAATTGTTGGGAGTTTCCAGCTTTGGGGTCCCAGTCCCCATCTCAGTCAGGCGCAAACCTGTCTGGTGCCTGGGAGAACACTTAGGAACTGGGGATATAAGTCTTTAAACTGAAGATAATGGTGACAGCTCTCATTTATTGAGCATCTACCTCTTTTCGGACAGTAGGATCCTCATGAAGTCCCCTACTAGATCCTGGGGTACAGGCTTCGTGGCCAGGGGGTGGAACGAGCCAGCAGGGTTGTATTTATGTGCAGGAGTAAGAGGGGAGACAGGGGCGAGTGAAGAAGTGAATGAAGCTAGTTGATGACTGAGGGGAAGAAGCACCGGGAGGGAAGTGCACTCATGGGCATGCGTGCTGCACGGACTTCCACTAACCCCCGGGCCTCACCCTGCCCTCTCTTGTCTTCCCAGCTCCAGGAGGCCTTTGGGTGGGAGCCATTCACCGAGCTCTTTGCTGAGTACCAGACCCTGTCTGACATCCCCGAAGACAACCCTGGCAAGATGAACCTGTGGGTGCAGAAGTTCTCTGAAAAGGTGCAGAAGAATCTGGCTCCTTTCTTTGAGGCCTGGGGCTGGCCAGTCCAGAAGGAAGTGGCTGACAGCCTGGCCTGTCTGCCTGGGTGGGAGGAAAACCCCATGCTTAACGAGCAGTCTTTATGCCCCAGGGATCGTGTGAGGTACTTCCTATGAGTTACCTCGTGGAATCTTCACGACAAACCTCTGAGTTACTCCATTTCACAAATGAGAAAACAGTCACTTAGGGATGTTAAATTACCTCTGAAATCACAGAAGAATCGGGGCTTTTGCAATTAAAAAATTGTGGCACTTTCCTCCATGAATGATTTATAATTTAAACAAAAATTCACCTAGAAAATGTAAGTTCAATAAAGTTCTGATTCATACCATGTTCACTATTGAATTGTTATTAAACATGAAATTTAACCTCCAAGAGGGTACTGCTCCTGATTTCCTGGCTGTCCAGCGTGTGGTTAGCCTCCCTTACAGGTAGAGCAAGGGCTTGAACCCAGGCAACTCAACTCCAGAACGGGTGTTCCTACTCATGAAGCCAGAGATAAGGAACGAATAATGCTGGGTTTAAGAGGTTGCCATAGAGACCGAGACAAAACCTGACTTCTCACACATTTCTCTGGAAGCTGGAGCCTGTCTGTGTTAGAGAGACGGTGGCTCTGTCTAAGTTCAGAATTAATTGTCCGTAACTGTGACGCTTAGAGAGTATTCCACATTCCAGAGCACACTTGCTCGCATGGATGCCAGTGCAGATCTGGTGAATCATCATTAAATGCTGCTTGCCAGGAAGTCTTGTGAATGCTTTTCATTTATGCCCACAACAGTCCTACAGAACAGTGACTATTATTATCTCTGTTGTTCAGAGAGGCAGACACAGAGCTAGCAAGCGGTGAGGCCACATGTCCAGCTCCAGAAGTTGACCTCTGGTCTCAGACTTTGAGCCAACACTACACCGTGTTCTGTTATTGGGTCTGCTACGGCCTGGACCTCTGCTTGCAGGAAGCTGTGTGTGTGACTGCTGAGTCACAGAATGACCCAGTGAAAACTGCTAAGACCCCAACAGGCTCTTTCTAGTTCCTACAGGAATATTTAACCACCAGGGTCATTCATCTAAGGCACGTATCCCTCAATACCTAAGACTCCACCTCCTTAGTCTGGAGGATTTTGAAGCTCCCATGCTTCAAATGACAACTTGGTGGAGTCCTAGAGGAAGCTTGTCTTCAACGCAGGGCTTGTATCCAAGTGTTCTTTGCTCATTCTTAAGGATACGCAAACTTCCATCCTCACGTCTGAGAGCAGGGTCAACGGGACACATACATTCCTGTAGGTTATTAGCTCAGTATCTGAAATACTGGAAGTCCTAGCAAATTGTTTACATTTCGAAGGACATAAATCACCCAATGGTACTTTAGGGAAATAGTAGTGGCTGCTTTAAAGTTTTAAAGGAGGTAAAAAGGACTGTGGCTCTATTTTGTCCCCTGAGCCCAATATATAGCCACTGACTTATTAGAGGAATGGGCAATTCATTTCAAAACATTAAAGCATTGGCAGTTGGTCACACTAAATGGAACCACAGAACCTCATACGTCTGGAAAATATTGTTGAAATTAAATAACAAGCACTGCCAAAGGGAATTAAAGTGATTTTTATCTTGAATAAATAAGACATGATGGATTCCAGGGTCACCTATGTTGCTCTTTGTCTCCCCCTTGTGGCCATACAGAAAACCTTACAGCTCCTGACCATCAGCTACAACAGTGAAATTATTCTCATGGAATTTTTTCCATTTTCTTTCTATTTAAATAAAACTCCCTGTTAGATTTATTATTTCATTTCTTCTGCTTTGGAGGGGAGGTGTTATTTTACTATCATTTTCTAACTTAATATGATTTTAGTTCAATTTATTTTCAGTCTTTTTTCTTCTCTTATGTTAACTTTCAAGATACATACATTTTTCAGTGGTCACATTTACTCTATCTTTTCTCAAGCAGACAGTTCATTCTCTCTGTCCCACCTCTTTTCAGCTACAGTAGCAAGCCTTTGGTGAAAAGAACAATTGAAAACTCTTTCAAAGTCTGTCACAAATTAAAAACTAGCTGAAACTTAAACTAGACGAATATCTTCATAATCCATTAAAACCCACCCCCATTTAGGTAATGAAAATGTTCAAAATTGATTGTGGTAATGATTGTACTACTCTAGGAACATACTAAAAACCACTGAATTATATACATTTTAAATGGCTGAATTGCATGGTATATGAATTATGTCTCAAAGTGTTACCAAACAACCTCTAAAAAACAAAAAACAAAAACAAAAACAAAACCCACACCCATTTAACACAAAGTGCTGCACCTTTTATAAATGCTAAAAGGAACAAATAAATTCAGCAAATTAATCACTAGGAACCCTAGTTTCCAGTGTATGTATGTATTTTCAAACTTCAGCTCTTGGCGAAGTGACTTTCAGCGCCATGGCTCTTTGTAAACCATCAGCACCGCCCCCAGGTGGTTTGTGAGGCAACCCCAGAGCGTCTGGCCACGCCCTGCACTAGGACGCATCGCTCTGGACTGTTATCAGAGGGCAGTCATCCAGCTCAGAATGTTCAGTCTCGCCCTGTCTGGTCAGGAGCAGTATTTCAATTTCCTAAACCAGGATTAAAGAGCAAAGATGAAACCCAAAGGATGAGCCTCCTCCAAGGACACTGAAACAGGACGTGCCCAGAGCAGTCACCAACCTCATTGCTTTTGCTCATTTTGTTAAAGGCCTTTCCTCAGCCAGCCACCATTTCCTGTCATTTTTTTGTCCATGTTTCTCACCAAAGGTGACAGAAGCTTTGCAGAGGCTCCTTTGCTCACCACAGGAAAATACCATCATGATGATGGTGATATCATGATGGTGAAATCTGGAGAACACACTTGGAGGCTGAGACAACCTCAGAGTCTGAATCATCTCAGTCCCAGTAACAGACCCAGATGCACAGAGAAGTGACCCGGAGGCCCGCAAGGAGCACCACTGGGTGTTGTTCAGGTGTTCTGGGAGGTCTCCCAGCCAAGCACCACTGTCCCAAAAGGGAGCAGGAAGAAGGATATTCCCAAAGATCATCACATCCTCTTCCCTTTGTGCAGCACCTCCAGACCATCCAGCCGTCCCTCCTACATGGCGGACGCCTCTCACACCAGACCTGAGCTACAGTCACAATCAGATGGGCTTCTCCAACTGCTTCTGGAGCGTGAATGTCCCCGCTGTGCGGGCACGGAGGGAGGAAGGTTTTTCTGAAGTTCTCTCTTTGTGTGTTGGAACTGGGGTTCCTGTGCTTAGGGCTTAAATGTAACACTGACAGGATGTGAGCTAATGGGTCCTTGGATCAAAGAAAGACATAAATGCAAGTGTTTCAGCTGGAGCCTCCAGGTGCCCAAAGTGCACGAGAGAAGTTTCTTTCCTGTTGATCTGCTTTCTGTTTCTGATTTTCTTTGGTTCTCTTTCTTTTGTTTTTTCCCACAGTTATCCTTGTTAGGTCGTATCATACAAGAGTCTGATTTTGTCTGTTCGGCTGCCATAGGCAGAGCATCAGGGCTGAGAGGAATTTAGGGACCTCGTCCTGTTACATGGCAGGTGAGAAAACTGCAACCTGGGGAGGTGAAAGAGGATGCTCTGTCCCCAGACCTGCTGGATCCAACAGGTGGGCTGGGGCAGCAGCAGAGAAGAGGCATCAAAACAAAAGTCATTTTCAAAAGAATTTTCACATTTGTTTTTGAAAAAAAAATTGAAGTTTTCAACAAAAGAAAAATCAGAATTTTGTTTGCTCTTCTTTTACAGTTTAGTATATGGTGTGGTTTCCAATTACATATGGAATGTGTGAAGGGAGAGCTACCATCCAGTCAGTGCCGTGGGTGTAGCGTTCCTTATTGGGTTCAGAGTGTCACACACGTGGTGGCAGGTCACAATCTGTTCTTGTTCTCGTGACCTTTACAATCGCAAAAGGAGAAATGTCAGCTACTGTATCTTCTTTCAATCAAAATAGACTTGACTCTGAGCCTACATCCTCTTGGATTAGTAGGAAATTCATTGTCTGTTAAGCACTGGGGAATTTTCAATCTCAGCTCAGTACTTAAGCAAAAAACGTTCAGGAAGTCTCCCTCTGGTCCCTGGTCCACAATGGCTACAGCCGAGATGCCCACTCTCCATGGTCTCAGCAGTGGTTCTGCTACTTAATTAAGGCAGGACATCTTTACAGAGACTGAGTCCACTTTCTCTAGACATAGCACCCAAATTCTTCCTCCCTCACCTCTTAGACTCCCACCTTCCTGGGGACACTTTACAGAGTCTGGCTACAGTCACCCATCCCCACGGGGCCCACAGAACGCCTTCACCTTCTCAGCGTCAGTTCATCTCCTATGTCATTCTCACTTCTTCCACCTCCACACCCTCTCCTAAAGGCTCTCAAGTCCTTCCCTCCCCACCCACTGGGAAGTTTAAACTTTCAGAAAATATCCAGGGGCTATCTGTAGAAAATTTCATTTTTTGGTTTTGTAATGAAACCTTTTCCTTGGCTTTAAGGCAGCCACATCGTAAGTTACTTCTGAACAGGAACACATGCTGTTCCTCTACCTGCAGCTCCACTGCCCCCGTCACAGGCGTTCAGGCTAGTGTACTGAGTGGAGGACGCCTGCCCCCGCGTCGCCGCCCCCATGCCCCTGGGACCTGTCACCAGACTGGTGATCCAGCACGTTTCTTTCTCTCTCTTCATGGATCCTGATTTTCTGAGATGAAAGGGAATCAGATGTCAACTATATCGAAAGCCTCTGATGAAACCACAATGGGTCTTATATCATATACCGATCTCTTTTTCCAAGATTTTCTCCAACCAAGCTTACCTCCTCAGCTTCTTCTCAAGCAAAGCAGGAGATTAATTTCTATCTTTCTCTAAACATTTAACTATTGTCTCTGAAATATTTTTTTCTGAGGCTGAAAAGTACTCTCCCAGGATTCATTAAGCAAAGCAATTGATTGCTTCATCCAAATAAAAAGACCTTTGCATATGCCTCTGCCACCACACTGATGAGGGATCGAAGGACACACCTACTGGGCAGGATGTTAGCTAACTTTTTGGTTGCAGGGACTCAACGATCCTACAGAAAACTACTGCCTTTCCTTAAGTTTGCAAAGAGGAGACCAGATCTTTTAACTTTGAAAACCAGTCACCTGCAATAGCCCACAGAGTCTGGGCTAGTGCTAAAACAGAAATATTATGCCAAGTCTCCTGGCTTCTCAAAATGATAAACAACTTCTCCCCTCTTCACCAGCCTCGGTGATTGGAAAAAGCCAGGGGCGAAGGTAGTGTTTCGTCAGGCTGAGAAGTCAGCAGACCATGCCTCTCAACCAAATGCCTGCTGCTCACATCCAAGCTGCAAAATGCACCAAAACCATGTTTCATGAGTCTTCACCCACCTCACCAGTGCCTTCTAGAAAAAGGTTCTATTCTCAGAATAAATACAGAAACTTTTCACCAGCCTTCTTGGAGTCATTTAAAATTTTTGTAATGAATGTTGGCAAAAGAGAAGGGGAGGGAAGGAGGAAATGGGGTCCTACAGAACAGAGAGGCTAGCATCACAGGCCATGTTAACATTTCCCAAGTGGACAGAGTCTCTGCTCCAGAAATGGCAGAAGATAAAGCTGAAAGACCATGATGGGGGGGACCCCAAGACCTCCACTCCCAGGCTGAAAGAGGCACTTGTGGTTTACCTGTGGTGAAGCTCTGAGGGGGAATTATGAGAACTGAGAATTCCAGGTCAGGTCAGTCCAAGCACAAAGTACCAAGAACCTGAAGCAGGTTAGTGGCGACAGGAATGAAAGAGACAGATTCTTGACAAAGCTTGATGATTAACTTGGACGTTCAAAGAGGAGAAAGGAAACCGCTGATCATGATTTGAAGGCTGTGGTGTTTCCTATCATTTGGAGAAACCAAAAACAGTGCTGAAAGCACAGGAATTTGCTTTTGATGGTATAACTTGCCATGCTCTTAGCAAAGCCTTGACATGTGATAATGCTATCAATCTTCACTTCAAAACTCCTCAAGGCTGATATTATCTTCCTTATGCAAATGAGAAAGGTAAGCTGAAGTATTTGATCGAAGAGTAATAGTTGAGAAGGCAGAAATGAGTTCAATTTTCTACATACAAAGTTGGAGCAGATTAGTGCAATGTTCCATATGCTGATTAAAATAAAGAATTTATGTTCACTGGAGAAGTTCAGGATATAAATAAACAATGGGGATCATTTATAGCAGCCACAAATGAAGGATAACTGGAAATGGGCAAAATGACACTAGAAAAGAGAACAGCTGAGCTGGCAGAGGACAGAGTCAGGAAGAAAACCTAGGCTGGGGAACGGGAGGAAAGGACAGACAATGTCTTCTGTAGGTAACGTCTGAGTAATGAAAATAAATCAAGAGGGAGAGGCCCCTTAGAAATCATCTGTATGAAGAGTTCTAGAGCCTGGGGAACCAACGGAGAGGCAGCCGCACACACGATGTGAGCCTGGCTGCAGTTCTGTGGGGCAGGTCACCATGGGAGAGCAGGCAACTGTTGCCTTTCTCCATTTATTTATTTTTCATAATAATACTGAAATTACTAAACTTTTACTCATCTTTTTCACTGTTAACACTTGCACAGCTGGTATTATCCATTTATTTTTTGTTCATTCATTCCCTATACTGGAGTCTTTGCTCTCTTCTGCTGCAGCTGACTGAACCATGGCGACAACTCCCGCTGCTGCCTTTGAGGCCCTCATGTCTGGAGTGACAAGCTGGGATGTCCCCAAAGACCCCATCCCCAGTGAACTCCTTCTGACTGGAGAGGCCGCCTTCCCAGTCATGGTGAATGACCAGGGCCAGGTCCTCATTGCCGCCTCCTCCTATGGTCAAGGCCGCCTTGTGGTTGCGTCCCACGAGGGCTACCTGCTGGAGGCTGGCTTGGCCCCATTTCTTCTCAATGCAGTGGGCTGGCTCTGTCCCTCACATGGGGCTCCCGCTGGAGTGCACCCATCCCTGGCATCACTAGCCAGCATCCTGCAGGGCTCTGGGGTTGAGGCTCAGGTTCAGCCAGAACCGGGAGAATCCCTGGGGGTTTACTGCATCAATGCCTACGATGACACCATGACTGCAGAGCTGATCCAGTCTGTGAAACTTGGAGGGGGCTTGCTCATCGGGGGCCAGGCCTGGTACTGGGCCAGTCAGCACGGCAGCGACAAGGTGCTGTCCAAGTTCCCAGGGAACCAGGTGACCAGTGTGGTCGGAGTGTACTTCATGGACATCTTTGGGGACAGAGGCCAACTCAAGGTTTCTAAGAAGGGGCCCAGAGATCCTCTCCACGTCGGGTGAGTAACGTGTCCCTGTGGGGAATGGGATCTACGTTAAATAGCGGTCTGTTCCCTATTTTTAAGGATCTTTCAGTCTAGCAGAGGAGAAGCTTGTCAGTATGAAATGGAATCATTACAAATTACTAACATAGTTATAACAATGGCCCCTGACAAATAAAGGACAATATCTTCTTTGTTCTCTCCTATGGACCAAGCATTATACATCTCGAGGGCAGGATTTCTTGTTTTGTTTTATTTACTATCGTGTCTCCAAATTTTGAATAGTTAGAGAGTGCTGGTAAGCGGAGAGGACACCTACAAGGGTTACAGAGACAAGAATCATGTCCGTTCTGCTTACTGTCTACCGCTAGCACCCTGGTATCACTAGCATCGTGTAGTGCACCAGCTGGCATACAGCAGACACCAAATAAACACTGACGAATGAATGAAATTGAGAGTCAGTGTGTTCCAGGGACGGCGGGGAGAACATGTCAGGCTAATCCTTACACTCGGGGGCTTCTCTGCCCGGGAGTGTTCTGGAACAACTCGGGGAGGGTTATCTCTGAGCTGATGGAAGAGCTGATGGCAATGAAGCAACGGGCGGTCCCCTGACATCTCCTTCCACCGTGGAGCAGGGTCCCTTCTGTTTGCAAAGATTAGAGAGAACTTGGACAAATGATGGGGTCTCTCATAACCATTAGATTGGAGCAAATGAATTTGACTTGAATCCCAAGAAGATAAGTCAGTGTTTTTCCTCATTTGCCTAATTCCCCTGTGTATGTGAATCCACCTCGTTTTTTGGCACAGATGAATAGTATTCCATGGCACTGCTTATAGCATAGTTTCTCTCGTCATGCATAGGAACAGTCACCCTTGTAAAATAGAAAAAGAGTATATTCTGTGTACATATACTTTTTGGGATCAAGTAGGGATGAAAATGTAAAACTTAGAGAAACTGGGGAAAAGACCAGTTAGGCTGCACATAAGCTTGGACAGGAAGGTAAAGTCAGATGCTCTTCTGATTAATCTGGGACTGCTTAAAATGTTCTGGGTCTCCTGGGACGACAGAGGAAATACAATCTGTAAGGACATCACACATCACTTCATTTCTTCTTCCTTATTGCTTCCTTCAGGCTGGATGTATTGTGGATACCCCATCATGCGCCATGTGCAGTCAGTGCCTGTGTTCTTTAGTGAGAAGATCGTAAGGTCCAAAGGCATCTGAGGTCTCTCCCGTGAGATGGGCCCCAACCGGCGGCACTCTGGATGGATTATCCATCCCCATACCAGCGAGGCCATGTGCAACCTCTGGTCAGTCTGTGTGAGTGAGACAGTCCGGGACATCCCAAGGGCGCAGGCCCCTCTCCTCTGAGTCCTCAAAGTCGAGAGTGGAGGGTTAAAATGCACATGGACCCGGGAGCCCCCTGAGTGACTGGAACCACTGGATGGCTCTGGAAGCCTATCTTCAGGTACAGAGCAGAAACGGAGACGGGGCAACAGACCCCACAGCCGTGCACCATTCTGGTGGAGCCTCAGGACCCTTACAGCTCCTACATCACCCCTCGCCCTGTCACGGGCGCACCACTTCCTCTGGACACGGGAGGTGGCTGCATGGTAGTGTCCCTCTGTGGCTCGGGCTGTACACGTCTAAAATGGGTAACATGTTTCCCACTCCTCTCTCCCACCTCAGAGCTTTGTAGAAATAAATAAAAGAGAGTAGAGTCATTGTGAAAAGTGCACCAAGACCACACGACTCCGGCCAGAAGACCTTGAGGGGGGCTCCCAGCGCTGCCAAATGTAAACCGGAAAGGCGATCCTGAGTTATCTTCATAGCCCAGAACACAAGAACGCCGCCTCACGTAACGATGCATTGTAAGGACATACGCTGGGGAAGGTGACCTGGTAGCAAACTTCTCAAAATGGTATCTTCTTACTCAAGCTCCAAATGTGGATGAGTCTTGGTTTCATTATAAAATAAATAATATGTGTGTAATGTTTTTCGAAAACCTTCCCTTCCATCTTCCATCTAATCCTTGCCAGGCGTATAAAATACACTTAGGATGTATTATCACAATCGTCATTTCACAAGTGCAGAAACTGAAGGCTAAAGTGAGTGATTTGCCATCAACCTTACACTTGACGAGAAAGGGACAGACCAAGAATTCAGGATCAGTGTTCTAACTCCAATTCCCCGTGCTCTTGGCACCACAGCACACTGTCTCTGGATGTCCACAATTCCAAACACTCTGAGATTCCTCAGTAATAAGTAATCTGTTTGAGCATCAGCATGAAACAGTCACAGTGCCAGCCAGAAGCTGGATCTACAAGTTTAATGCAAAGCCCCTGGGGGCAGAGTCCCTTCACTGCTCCCTACCTAGACTACTATCGCTCTGGGTCTGAGACTCAAGTCCAGGCCAGGCAGCCACCTCCCTGACTCCTCACCTTCCATCCCCACCACGTGGTCAAAATTCAAGTCCCTGGTATCTGCCATCCAAACTATCCCAACAGCCTCTTCTCTAGCCTCCCTGCTTCTGCCCACAATCCCAACTGACCAATCTTCCAAAGTGCTGCCAAACCACACATTTCAGCTAAAAACCCTTCAGCAACACTCTGATGCCTTCAGGTAGAATACCTCACTCTTCAGTAACTGGCCCTGCCTTACCCTCCTGCCTCGAGTTCTAGGTCCCCAGCCTTTTATTCTTTCAAATCCAAATTGTTTATAGTTTTCTGAACATATCACCATGGTTCATGTTTCTGTACATCTGCAAATATTGCTCTTTCTCCCTGAAATAGTTTTGCTTTCTTTATACACAAGGAAAAATGTTCACCTTTCAAAATCAGGTCATTTGTCACCTTCTCCAAGAAGCCTTCCTTGAGTATGTTCCTTTGAGATACTATCTGCTCGCTCCCCCATGTTCGTTTGTATTCGAATGACACCACATTGCCACTCATTTGTTAATTTAACTTAATTGATTAAAATATAATTAAACGTATTTAATAAGTTGATCACAATGAGTATCAGATATCTCCTAATGGCACAGTCTGTGGTTGCAGCTGAGCAACAATGAAAGGATGACAGGTAGCGATGGTTGAGACACTAGCTTGTCTTCGAGGCAGTGCTTCTCTAGGGTCATAGGTTCCTAAATGATGGGCCACTGCGTCCCTTCCAGCTCTAAAGTTTACAGTCCTGACTAAGTCAGGGGCCTGCCAGGAACTGTCCCTGAGCACCTCTCTCTCTATTATCTGAGTCCATCCTAGCTCTATCCACAAAGAATGCATTCTCCTTACCTAACTGTCCGTCTCTGTAAGACAACATGGCAGACTTACCAAGAGTCAAGTCTTTGACAAAGAATAAAAATCTCATTACGTCAGGGTGGTATGTATGTTTTCAAATGGAAGGGTTCCACTTCTCAGCTACACAAGATGAGACAGTACCCTCACCAAAAATCAGACTAAAATCTTTACCACTAAGCTTAGGAGTGAGCGAAATAATAATTCTAAAAGTAACTACCATCTACTGAGAACCTGTCATGGACCAGGTGATACACAAGCACAGACTGAATCTCTGAAACTGGAGGGAGGCAGAATGAGACATGACACCAGTCACCAGAGTGAACATATTCGAGAATGCAGAAGGACAGAGCCACTGGTAAGAATTAAACCAGTGTTAAAGGTGGCTTATAACGAAGGATAGCATGTAATTTTACATGTATGTGGAGGGGGAGTGGCTTCTGTAGACCAGACACCTCATTCTGCCCAGCTCCTGGAGGCCTTTGGGTGGGAGCCCTTCATCCAGCTCTTTGCTGAGTACCAGACCCTGTCTGACATCCCCAAAGACAACCCTGGCAAGATGAATCTGTGGGTGCAGAAGTTCTCTGAAAAGGTGCAAAGAAACTAGTTCCTTTCTCCGAGGCCTGGAGCTGGCCGGTCCAGAAGGAAGTGGCTGACAGCTTGGTCTGTCTGCCTGGGAGGCAAGAAAATCCCATGAAATCATACGCATCTTTAGAAAGGAGTGAAGAATTGTTCACTTTAAAATAGATCGTTGGATGCAGAAGATCAAATCCTCATGTAATCATCCCAAATTTCAACTTTATATTTTTCTCAACCTTGTTCAGAATATACTAATTCTTTTGCAAGGCAGAGATTAAATTAAACAGTGATTTTTCAAAAGTAGTAATATGTACAGCTCAACCATGTTTTCTCTAGTTTTATTTTCTAATCCTGAGATTTGTTTCTTGATTGTTTAGTGTTTTACATTTGCTTTATCGGGTGACCACAGTTGCTCAGACTCAGAGACTTAACCCCAGGAATGTCTTTCTCTGGATGCCTTTAGAGCACCTTCCTCTTTATCCTAAAATTATGTCATACAGTTCACAAATATCTTTTGTTTGCATGGTTTGAGCATGGTAGGTGGTCAACAGAAACTTGTTGCAAATGAATAAAAACAACTGCATGGTAGAGGATTCAGTGTGTGCCAGCCAGTAAATGCTTTAACTGGACTAAGTCATTTCCTGATTGCAGCGACCTTATGAGTAAGGAACTATTATAGGCCTTCCAAGCAGGAGAATGTGTTCCTGGAAAGTAAATCTCTAGTGTGATAATAGCTAAAAATTTCATGAAGATATACTCCATATGCTTATATATTTACCCTCACAGCATTCTTTAGAACTGTTCCCATAGCATAGAGGACCACACGCATCCATCTCACCTCTACAGATGGGAGCTGCCACACAGCCTACCGAACATCCCCTGTGGCCCCTTTGGGGAACATTTAGAGAATTCACTGACAATTTAAAGTCTGTTATCCAAGAAAATTTGATGTCAGTGCCAGAAAGATAGACCAAGACAAGCAAACAAAAGAAATATTGGCTTGTTCCATGAAGACAGGGGAAATCTTTGCAAGGCACACATGGCTGCTTTTTGGTCAGGAGTTTCCGTGCTGGAGGATCAGTGTTGCAAGCCCATGCTGAATGGAGTATTGTTAAGCCACGTGTGCCTATATCATCTTCACTAGCACACAAGGAAATTTAAATTTCAAAGTGACAGATGGCAGAGCAAGAATTTGAAACAGATTATTAGATTCCAGATGCAGTGTCCTTCACTGAAAGAATATATGACCATAGCTACTATTCCTCTGACTACAAGAGCCAGATATAAGCTGAAAGAGCAATAATTAATTAATTAATTAATTAATTAATATGCCCCTTTTTCAGCAGACGACTTTACTTTCACCTGTTCTATGAACCATCTTCTTGGGAACTGCCTCTGCCTTCTCCATGATTGGAATGGAGTTGTCAATCAAGGGACCATAGCACTCCCATTATAAAAGTAGGTACAAGACCACACAGAAAACCAGAGTACTCCACCCCCTAGACCTAGTGACTGGACCACAGATGTTCACATGACTTAAATAGAACCAAGCCGTGTCCTTTTTTGATAAGTAGTAAAGTCACTGGTAGAAGAAGAATGAATTTTTTTAATGAGATCACAGCTTCTATGAGCCATTTAGTTCAGGAGCTGCTTTGCAATATCGTTTTCACACAAAGGGAGCCTGATGGACAATGAAATCCACACGAAGGAAAACAACGACAAATCAAAGCTCTGTGTCCCTAAGGATACTGTCCAAGGATCTAGATCTAGCAGTGCTTCAAGCTCGAGGTCAACTGCCGGACTTCTTCTGTTTCTTGAATCAAGAAACGGCTTCCTTTTGTTTCTACCAGTTGGAGTTCAGGTCCTATTAACTTGTCATCAGAAAAGTCCAACTAAAAACTCTCCCCTTTCTTAAGTGCTCTCCAGTTTGCTGTTGGAGCAAATGTGACTCCTATCTTTTCTCACGGGGACATGCCTCCTGGTTTCAAATCTCTTTCCTTCACTCATCGTGGGTGAGCTGCAGGACATGAGCCCAGAGAATGATAACACAAGCCAGTTTTCCACTGATGGCAAATGTAACCAATGGTCACCAAGGCCTTCGCCTGTAGAATTTCACGATTCTGAAACCAAACAGTCTTGTTTTTAAAGGTACCTTTGGACAGAGAGGATAGACAAAGACTTTGGGGTTTTTTTTCCCCAGCTTTGGAAAGAGAGGAGTCTAGTCAGAAAGGCTGACCACTGGTTCTTGGTCTCCTCTTTGGGGTTTCAACTTAAAGATCCTTTCTCAGAGGGAACACCATGCCCAGCTGTGTCCTGGCTGTGCACACTGTTTACCTGCAGTCACACCACCCATGCTTCACTCAATACTTCTCATCACGTTCGCATTTAATGTGTATTTAATGTTCTCTTACCTCACCAGACCGTGCATTTCATGAAGGCAGGGCTGATGTCTGTGTTTCTCAGAGCTTTATCTTGAATGCACAGTGCAGTTCCTAACGCATCAAGAGTTCTGGATGGATAGGGATTTGTAATAGACAGGTACTTGATGGACAGGTGTTTCCCAACACCTGTCACCATTGAGTGTCTCATAGAGGCCTATGATATTTACTGAAATTCCAAGAAATTCTTCCATTTTTCTAGAAGGAAGCTGTAATGTGACTTCAGTTTTTTCTTTTTTTTTTCCTACCTCATACTGAGCTACATCAATTTTGATTACATTACTGATCAGACTAGACAAGAGGGAACTTTCCATTGGTCTTCTACCCACCCTTTTTATATATTCAAGATTCAGCACTTAAGAGAATGTTTTCAGGAAAATTTTTGTGGAGGCTGATGTTGGAAACTTTCAAGACATATAATTAGTTTGTAACTGAATTCCTCAGGCTTTTACATTTTATGGTCTCTGTCTTCACTTCTTCCCACACCTGTTTCTTTTCTCTCCTCACTTGAACTTCAGCCAATGTTAATTATCTCTGAATTATCACATCCCCCAGGCCTGTTATATGTTATTAAATTCTGGGTCAAGGACATTCCTCTAAACCAGGGTGACCCCAAGTCTCTCTGTATCAACCAAAATGACTCCGGTCTTCTCCTGTCTGTCCTCAAGGTGGCACCCTCAGCACAGGCTCCAGCCTCCTCAACTCCCAGCCCTTAATTACTAGAAAGAAAAGACCTTTTCTAAAACTCTAACACAGCATCGGACGGCCCTTAAAAGATCCAAGGAGATAGTAGCACAGGGCAAAAGAAAACCAAGAGCCTGCCCCACACAGAGAGGTTTACAGGGCAAGAGAGGCTACGCTCTCCACGTCCAGAGAAGGCAGACTGGGGGAACAGAGAAATCTCAAAAATGCAAGTACAATTCAATTCTAGTGTATCTAGCACATTCACTTAATTCATAGACTATAAGAGAAAAACTTTATAATCATAACAAAAAATAGTTCAAAAAATTCAAGACCTAGCCATGATTAAAGAAACTTTCTATAACAAATAGCATATCTACCAGAAACCTTTAGCAAGCATTATACTAAGTAGCAAAAAGTTAGAAGCACTCACATTAAATTCAAGAACATGAGAAGAACGTTCACTCTTAGTGCTACCTTCAGCATATCCTTGGAGGTCCTTATTAATGCGTTAGGGCAAGAAAAATAGACACACTGGAAATGAAGGGGAAAAGTCATTATTTTCAGAAAATATAACCCTCTATATTTTGAGAGTGGACGTATAGACTTAGCTGATAAAGAGGATGTGATGGAAACAGGTAAAGAAGTCAAAGATGACACCTAAGGCTCTCGGCGTGAGCCCTCAGTGTTTTCCGTACCTTTAACTGAGACAGTGGGAAATGAGAGTATGGGACTAAGAGAAAATATTAAATAGGCAGTTTGATATATGAGTCTAGACTTTAGAGGTTTGGTGTACAGAATTAAGAGGATATATTAGATAGGCAGTTTGATAGATGAGTCTAGACTTCAGAGCAGAGGTCAAGTCTGAAGATACAAATTTAGAACTCATTAGAATATAGATGGTATTTAAAGCTTTAGACCACACTGAATTCCTTAAGGAGAAGAAGAAGACTAAGAATGCTGTAAGCCACTATTTTGAGGCAAGAAAATGAGACTGGGAAGGACTAGCTTTGTGAGATAAGAGGAAAGCCCAAATTTATTATAGTCTATCACAGAACTGTGGAAAAGAAGATATTTTTTATAGCAGAGGAGGGGGAAGATGTCAACAGTCCTGTTGTTAAATGCTTATGGAAAAGTCATGTAAAGTGAGGTTTGGAGATGGAACTTTGGGATCAGTCTTCGGGGAGGCTGTTGGCGATTTTGTCAGGGTAGGTGGTGGCTGAGTCAGAAAACACCTGGGTAGGTTGAGGAGAACGGGAGGTGAGGGATTTGAGACATCCATATTCAAAGCACTTTTGGTACATTTTTCTTAGTAAGGAAGCAAAGAAATAGAGTGGTAACTGGAGGAATAAAGGACTAAGAGAAAAGTTTGTTTTTTAAGATGATGAAATACCAGAGAATATTTCTAAGATGAAGATGTGAATAATCCAGTATGAAGGGAGAAACTGACTTATGTGCTTGAAAGGGGGAAAAGATAAATCTAGTTCTATATGAAATTATAAAGAAGTTTTCAAGTAAAAGGAAAGAGATTCAATAGAACATGATTCATGGATCAAGCAAAGTCATCTTCTATGAATTCAATTGGATTTGAAATTTGTTGTATGCTTGGTGTTCAAGAGACTAATGTGTAAAAGATTTTTTTTCTTTTAAAGGTAGGTAATTAACTCAGAGATTATTTTCATAATAGTAAAACATCTGGACTTTTTTCCCTTAATGATAGCACCTTATTTCTCAGTGTATCTTTGGGATGAACCTATACTGACAAAGTACTTATTAATTCATATCCAGAGTCCTTGTATGGGTGAAAAAGTGGAAATTTGACTGGATTCATACAGATTGCCTCTTTGCTCTCAACTCACTTCATTCTATTTAATTTTAAACAAATACAGGGGCTTTTTTAAGTTTTGGG